CGGCAGTGAAAAATTATTAATTACTCAATTTCCGTAAATAATTTGTGAACTTTTATAATTTCATTGCAAAGCTGGAACTTCAGGCTACATTCTTATATAATTTTCGTAAAGAATTTAACTCTAAATTGTTACTAATTAATTTGTGTTTAATGGCGTCTATGATTTCGTAACGACGACCATCGCGATCTTCCGTGAAAATATTTAATACTAAACGAAACTAGAAGAAAAATGTGATCAAAAGTTATATGAGAAGATTCGCAGGAACATTGTCTTTCCAACGAGTGTATAAAGTTTCATAAATTGATTGCGTAAAGGATAGTAATTAATGAAAAACCAATGGCGTCTACGACAACAGTTCAAACATTGCGCAGAATAATAATTATTATTAAATTAATTAGGGACAAATCTATATCGAAAAGTATATTGGAAAGTTGCTGAAGGATCTGCCTTTACGATGCAATTATAAAAGTTCACAAATTAATCGCAGGAATTGAGTAATTAATTAATTCTCTAATAAAAATTGAAAAAGGAACAGTCAGCGCCGCCTATAGTTTTTACCTGGAAGCTTAGGCTCCGTTAGTTCCAATACATAACTATAGGCGGCGCTGACTGTTCCTTTCTGAATTTTTATTAGAAAATTAATTAATTACTCGATTCCTGCGATTAATTCGTGAACTTTTATAACTCCATCGTAAAGTGAGATCCTTCAGCAACTTTCCAATATACTTTTCGATATAGATTTGTCCCTAATTAATTTAATATTAATTAATATTCTGCACAGTGTTTGAATTGTTATCGAAGATGCCATTGGTTTTTCATTAATTTCTATCCTCGACGCAATTAATTTATGAAGCTTTATGCACTCGTTAGAAAGACAATGTTCTTGCGAATCTTCTCATACAACTTTTGATCACATTTTGCTTCTAGTTTCGTTTAGTAATAAATATTTTCTCGGAAAGTCGTGATGGTCGCCGTTACGAAATCATAGATGCCGTAAAACAAAAATTAATAAGTAACAATTTAGAGCCAAATTCTTTACAAAAGTTATATAGGAATGTAGCCTGAAGTTCCGGCTTTGCAACGAAGTTATAAAAGTTCACAAAATGTTTACGGAAATTGAGTAATTAATAATTCTTCACTGCCGGAGCCATTCTATCCTTTTCTATCCTCTTTCTGTCCTTGTCTACCACGTGACCAGCACATCGTCGACCTCCTTGCCTATCCTATATTCCTATCACTTTTAGAGTATTTGGAGCCAAATAATAGATGGCGCTGATCGAAACTGCCGAATGTAAAACCACTTGACACGTTGGGCGGGAGAAACAAAACAATAAAAGGACATAAATAATTATAACACATTTTTGTTCATTCTCTTTACTCTCTTAAAAGCTAGACGAACATGAAGTCACAGATGAAGATGCGTTGTTTTATTCTTGGTAAAAAGAAAACAAAACTTCAATTGCTATATGCTTAGGAACTTTTTATTCACTTTGAAAGTTTTACATATACATGTTAATTGTTAACGACATAATAAACAATGACATATAGATATTAGAATCTGAATAGATATCCGTATCACGGACGGTTTCGAGAAAAAGATGTTTCGTAATACATATCACCTAATAATTATCATTACAATGACCATATATATATGTACAATATTTATAAACATATGATAAATGATTCTATTCAAATACATGAGTTATCCTAATAATTCTTGATATCTCTTATC